TACTCACCGGAATTCATATTTTCGAACAAAAATACTTTAAGTCAGAGCACAATATTAAGTTTTTACCTACAAAATTCCCGTTTAGTATACAGAAAGTTAAGGTGATTTTTCCAAACAAAATTATTTTCTATCAATTAAGATATGCACCCACGGTATCGATGTTTCAGCGGAGTGGGACTCCTTCAAGGCCCTTCTTGAAGCAGTCAGGTGTGCGGGAGCCAAAAAAACTCTTCAATGGTATTTTGTTTGTCAAAAAATTGTCCAAGCTTTGGAAAATGTAGAAATCTGGTGAGTTTAGTGAATGACCAACGTGAAAAACTTTCAAACCTAACCTTTTTGCTTTGAGGCCGTCTTTTGCGGCGTATGGGGTTGAGCGTTGTTATATATATAGGGACAGCGGGGAAGAACGATTAATCAAGGCTGAGCGAAGATTCGCGAGTTTTTCGATTATTGCGACCAGTTCCTCACGGTACAGTGATTAACAGTGATACTGGTGCCATTTGATGAGAAGCTATGATGAAGTATACCGACATTAGACCACTAAACAGTGACTATGACTCTTTTAGGATTAGCTTTTCGTTTGGGACATTCAATGCCTTGGTGCAGAACTTGAGATATGAGTTCTAAGGTGTCAGTATAGTTACAACGGCTGCCCCACCCTTCAAACCGAAACGCATTACTGCTTCACCACAGCAGAAATAGATGGAGTGGTGGTACCTACCCGTGCGGACTCACAAGAGGTTCTACCACCAGTAATTACGCAAATTATAATTTTGCGGGTTTGATATTTAAATGTTAATAAAAAAAATACAGAATTCTATTTTAGAATTCAGTCATATGTTTATTGATTAGTTTTTAGTTTTTACTACTATCTTATATATATTTTTTACAGTATGGACATTATAAAAACTCGAGTAATCATGGAATAGGAGTTCCGTTGTAGTAGCAATGCCGCGCAAACGGCTCATAACATTAATGTCGTATACGAAGTGAATAAGTACTATGTACAAACGAAAGCATGCTTCCGACACGGAAATTTTGATAAAATAAAATAAAACCCCGTGGTTGCACGAAAGGTAAAGTCAACAACGACGAATTTAAGGGGCTAGGGGAAGCTGACGATACTCAATATTCGACGTTAGCATCGACACCAGTCGTCGTGGCCTAAAGGATAAGACGTCCGGTGCATTCGTATCTAGCGATGCAACGGTGTTCGAATCCCGCAGGCGGGTACCAATTTTTCTAATGAAATACGTACTTAACGAATGTTCATGATTGACTTCCACGGTGAAAGAATAACATCGTGTAATAAAAATCAAACCCGCAAAATTATAATTTGCGTAATCACTGGTGGCAGGACCTCTTGTGAGTCCGCACGGGTGGGTACCACCACGCTGCCTATTTCTGCCGTGAAGCAGTAATGCGTTTCGGTTTGAAGGGTGGGGCAGCCGCTATAACTATATTGAGACCTTGGAACTCATGTCTCGGGGTGGGTGGCGGCATTTACATTGTAGATGTCTATGAGCTCCACTAACCACGTAACACCAGATGAGCTAGTTCATCCATCTGAGCAATAAGTAAAAAAAACGTTACGTTGGTTTAAGATGTTTTTTTACACGCTCGCCCTGGACTTTTCCCTATATGATAAAGAATATTAAGCGTAAGCTGACAAAGCGATCATTAAGAGCTGTGGTCAAAAACAAAGCACTAATTCATCAGACCGCTTACGGTACACGCAGCACGGCGCAACCCGCGTCTTCCGCCTCTGAATATTTCAGCATTTTGAGCATCGCCTCCCTCGTACAATGACCGTTTTTATACACCACCCCTTCCCGTGCTGGCTTCACGTGCAGATCGCTGATATGAATCTATACTAATAATATTATAAAGCCGAAAAGCTTGTTTGTTTGAACGCGCTAATATCATTAACTACTGGTCCGATTTGAAAAATTCTTTCAGTGTTAGATAGCCCATTTATTGAGGTAGGCTACAGGCTATATAACGGTAAGACCAATACAAGTGGAGCAGCAATAAAGTATTTTTCAAAAAAGGGAGCTTAAATAGCTCCGAAACATTCTATAATTCAAATGTATTTTCACTGTCTACGGAAATGAAGTGGGGGCAAAATTTAGCGTTATGCCAAAGTATAATAACTATTCCACGTGAACGGAGTCGCGGGCAAAAGCTAGTGAATAAATAAACTTGTTTTATACGTTCTTTAGGCTTTGTCAAAGTTAACGTCGCCGCGATTTCTGGTAATGAGCTTTACGTGAGCAAGCAAAGGCCGCCTTCGTTTAAGTGTTATGCATTTACGTGTATAATTGCCGCTCGGGGTGTTTGAAGTTGGTGTTTGTGTATTAAAAGTATGAACATCTAATTTCTATGTTATTACTGGTCTTCTATTTTTACTGGTGGTAGGACCTCTTGTGAGTCCGCACGGGTAGGTACCATCGCCCCGCCTATTTCTGCCGTGAAGCAGTAATGCGTTTCGGTTTGAAGGGTGGGGCAGCCGTTGTGACTATACTGAGACCTTAGAACTATATCTCAAGGTGTGTGGCGCATTTACGTTGTAGATGTCTTTGGGCTCCAGTAACCACTTAACATCAGGTGGGCTGTGAACTCGTCCACACATCTAAGCAATAAAAAAAATAAAACATAAAATTATTTTTACTGTGAAAAATGTTTAAGCAAAAGCAATTGTTACCACTGGGTAGGACGTCTTGTGAGTCCGCACAGGTAGGTACCATAACCCTGCTTATCTCTGCCGTGAAGCAGTAATGCGTTTCTGTTTGAATAGTAGGGCAGCCGTTGTACTGTAAAAACTGAGACCTTAGAACTCATATCTCATGGTGGGTGGCGGCATTTACGTTGTTGGACGACGGCATTTACGGTTGGACGAGCTCAGGGCCCATCTGATGTTAAGTGGTAAGCGGAGCCCATAGACATCTACAATGTAAATGCCACCACCTACCTTGAGATATGAGTTCTAAGGTCTCAGTATAGTTACAACGGCTGCCCCACTCTTCAAAGCTCGTTTAAAAATCAACGGCAACTTGGAAAATGGTTATCCTACTTAGCCTTCGAACAGTAACACAGCAATATAGAATAATCAATTATCAGTGTAATTTTAATCTAGTTATCATCATGTATCACACTACAGACACAAACACACACACACTCACAATGCACAGATTACCCATCAAAATATTTAGAACATAAATAATCTAGTTTTTTTTTTAATTTACAACCCCTTAACGCCGCTTATTAATATTTCTACTACAAAGTAATTATTAAAAAAAGTCGTGAAAGTAACCGCTTAAAAATGAATCTTTAAAATAAGCGCAAAGTAGAGCAAGTACTATTAAAAAACATTAACCTAGTAAGTAAATGAGCAGTAACTCACGCTTCGCTACGTGGAAAATATAAATTGATTTCTTTGTAAATTTCCCCGTAACTAATTAAGCCCTGATATTCTTAGCTATGGCTCTATTTTTGTACTTTTGTTCCAGGAGCTACGTCAGTAATTTAAACATATACTTATGTTATAACAAGACACAAGAGTTTTCTGTATCATTTTGACCAAAATTTTATTGTTCTACCAGTATTAGGTTTTTTTTATTGCTTAGATGAGTGGACGAGCTTACGGCCCACCTGGTGTTAAGTGGTTACCGGAGCCTATACATCTAGAACGTAAATGCCCCCACCAATCTTGAGATATGAGTTCTAAGGTCTCAGTATAGGCTTACAACGGCTTCCCCGCCCTTCAAACCGAAACGCATTACTGCTTCACGGCAGAAATAGGCGGAGTGGTGGTACCTATCGGTGCGGACTCACAAGAAGTCCTACCACCAGTAATTTCGCACATTATAATTTTGCGAATTTGATTTTTATTACTCGATGTTATTCCTTCACCGTGGAAAATAGGTATATAAAACCGTATTGAAATTTATTTGGATTTAAACTATAATTAATATGCGTCAAGCAAATCCTACAGCGTTCCTCGGACACGTTGCCAGGAAAGGTGAAGATAATCTAGAAAAAACCGGTGATTACTGGTAATGTGGAAGAAAAAGATTGCGCGGTCCCATCCCAATGCGTCGCTCGGACCAGATCGACACCACCCTTTGTGCAACTGACAGTCTACGATGTTTCCCGAGCAGCCGAAGACAGGAAGAAGTGGCACAACATTATGAAAAGTTACGGAAAGAGGTGATCGCGACCCTCAAACATTACGAGTACGACTGGAGGAAGAGGATAATTTACATTAAAACAAATCTTTCTGTCCAACTGGCCGTTCCAGAAATTTGTCGACATCGGCCCATGAACTTAGTCGATCTACGAGCTTATTCGTGACACAGAAAGTAGAATTGTTTGTTTTTTTTTTCATTCCATCTAAACTTCAACAAAATAAAATCATTAACAGCGTTATAGTTGAAAATTATCTATGAAGCTTATACTAAGTTTATGTGGGTGTGTATTTGTAGTAGTTTGCTACGAAATATTCACGTACATATCTCACAGAGGCTGAAACAATCTAGTTACATTCATCAGGTCATTTACGGCAATTGGGCGATATTCTGGTATGAAAAACTACAGCTTTATTTATCGCAAAACAACAATTAAACGTGTAAACCTTATTAGGGGCATCCTTGCCAATATCATTACAAAAATAGACAGAAAACGACAATGTGATTGATCAATCCACATCCGAATACAATTTTATGTTGTTGACAGGCGCAGAGATTGACCAAAAAACGCGCCATGTTTCTGCTCGTAAAGACCTTAAAACTACTAGTACAAGCACTTACATATGCCCCATTAGACTACACTGTAACACGCTACAGTCAAGAGATAAACAATTTTCTCAGGTTTTGTAACCGATCGATATAAACGAATCTCGAGAGCGTTTGCCTTTTCAACTCGTCCAGCCTCCGGTGCTTTGTTATCGTCTACACGATTTCTGCTGTAACAATTCAATGGAATATTCTAAGTGTACTCACGGTGAAAGCTTGTCCTGGCTCGGATTACATGAGCCACTAAATTCACTGCACCAGGGAATCTTCGTGTCAGTTCGATTGATAACCGAAACACCTTCTCGAAACCACTCCGACTCTAACTTGCGTAACATTTAAGTGAAGGGGCACATATCGCTCGCGAACCCAATCTGTAGGTCAGAGACGGGCCCACGCAGGAACCCGGAGCCGTAGTCCTGCCATTTTGGATTCGATCAGACTAAGCGGCGCGGTGGGCGGCCGTCAACGGAGGGCGGCCAAGCGTCTGGAGCGAACGCACCGGATCTGCGCCTCTTGTTGTCTTCAACGTGAAAACCGAAGCGTCACGGCGGAGTACGTTCAGTAGGAAAATAAAAAAGTGAATATGTCGGGCTGAGGGGTCGGCCGGCTGCGAGAGGCACATGCCGCGCTCGATACGTAGGCGCATGCGTGAGGCGCGGCGCACGTGACGTCACGCATCCTCGCGCCGCCGCCTTACAAGCTCGCCGCGTCAATGGGCCGCCGTCGCCGTCGCTTCACTCATACGCGCTTACTAAGCCATCAGTCACTCTGACAGTGGCTTCACCCCGACCACTCAGAGCGATCGCCCAATTAACATCACTTATTTCCTTTAAAATCATTTGATCAATACGCATCCCAGTCTATCCTAGTAAGGACTTTTACAAATTTAAAAGATATAATTATTGTTTTATTTTTTAGTTAAAGTAATTTAACTTTTTAATTTATCTAACGTTGAAGTTTTTGCTTATTGATTTGATTACACTTAGTTATAAGCAAACGATAGGTAAATACTTGTTTATAATTGAATAAAAAAAAAATGTTACTTACGAAATCATTTTCGCTACTACTAGAAGAATTTTTCCTCGTTATTTTAATTACAACTACTTGGTTTTGGTCATATTCAGAGGCAGTATCTTCGCTACGTAGGTCGTCACTGTGGTGTTCTGTTTTCTCAGCTGGTATTGCTATGGAAAAAACACCCTCGGTTTGTACGACAGATTTACTAGTATCAGCAGTCCAATCACTCGGTACTGTTTCCGTGTCGGATGTATTGTTTGGATCATTACAGAAAATTGTCTTGAAAATTCCCCACGCCTCGTCGAAAATCGATACACATTTCGAATGTAAACTTTTCATAGTCAAATCACAGACGTCAAATTATCATTGAGCCGAAACACCAACTAATTTTAATATAGACTAATTCTGTTACAATTGATTATCTCACTGATAAAAGCTCTTGATATATCATTTATTGGGATCAATGAATGGCAAATGAAACGTAAGCGTACTGAATAAACAAAATTTTATTTTGCTATTTACAAATCCTTACAAGAAACAAATCGTTTTGGTATAGTGATTTTTTTAAGGTTTACATTTATTTATTATTATAGTACATACATTACATTTACATAAAGTTGAGGTAAATATACGTTATTTGCTTAAAAAATATGTACAAGATGAAAAGACATTGTTATATGTAATAATAATACAATTTTAACAATTACAAATTGTTATTGTCGAAGGTAATGTTATAGTGGCGATTGGGGAATACCTTGTGCTGGAGTTAATTCGAAAGCTGGATGTCACTTGGCAAGAATGAACTCTGGAATCAAACTGAAATTATTAGCTCCAGGTGCTAAGGATTTAACAATCATTACACAGAACACTCTTTAACTACTGATTACCTTAACAATAAGTAATAAGATTACAGCAAAAAATATATTTTTTAACCTAAACCAAATTACCTAAATTTAGTAAATTTAATTAGATAACCAATCCGTTTCTTTTAAAAGTATAATTTAATATATCATTTATTGTAAAAACATAAATATCGCTTGAAGGTATAATTCAATCAGATGGATAATTACTATGGATATTCTCATTTTAAACCATTTTTCGTTAAAAGTATTTTTACGGCTTAGTCATATCATTTTTCGGTTTTGATAAATTTAACAGAGAAGTTGGTTGGCGCCTATCTAACACACCCTAGTCAAAGAAATAATCCGATCTCAAGGTATATACTATTAGTTCTTTCTGTGTGGAAATAAACTTAAAATTAGACGGTAGTAAGCAGAAAATTGAAATGTCGTGTGAAGCTACAAAAACTATACCTATATAAAAATGAACTGCTGTTCGTTAGTCTTGCTAAAACTCGAGAACGACTGGACCGATTTGGCTAATTTTGGTCTTGAATTATTTGTGGAAGTCCAGAGAATGTTTCAAAGGTAGATAAATATGAAAATGCTCAGAATTAAATAAAAATAACAATTTTGTATTCCCTTTGACGTGTCCCCCGTCGGACGGATTCCTTTTGTTTGTTTTATACAAAAGTTTAGGTCTTTTATTTATCGATTGAGGCACTAGGAAGTTTGCCGGGTCAGCTAGTTAATACATCTAATTCTAATAGTCGAAAATAGTAAAAAGAAAATATTAAGCCACAAAGTATTTTATATTAAATTTAGGAGTAGTGAAAACTAAAGAAAACTATATCAAGTTTAGTGTGTCAGTTCTCAACGCCAATCAAAAGCCGAACCAATACTCCGCAGTAAACTATCTTCAATCATCAATAACGAAGTTGTAGGCACATTTTGATCTATTGCCCTTTTGATCGTTATAAATACATAATGAATTCTCATTGTTTTAAATTCAAATATTTTGACGTAAAAGCACTGTTTAGTACCTCAAATTACCTGCTTAGTATAATCAAGGTTTCTAAAAGGGAATTGTTTTTTTTTTTTTAATGAAATTTTATTATTTGTGTCACAAATTTCAACTTCGAACATTTTAAGTTGACGGATAATTCTGACACTCACTGATTTACTCGTTAATTGTATACTAAAGGGACTTTAATTGGCTAATTAGTTCGTGAGGTACCTATAAGGTCTTGAAAATTTTCATACCCCAGTTGAAATGACGTAACCAATTAGAGAAAGTTATTTCGAAAGACTTTTTTGCGGATACTGCTTGCTGCAATAAGTAGGTATTCAAATATATATTTTTAATTAAGTTCATATTTGTATTCTGCGTAAAGTTTGAAAAAGTTTTATAAGTTATTGAAGAAAAGAAATTAATAATATTGCATAACACCATCCCTTAGACCAATCTACAAAATTAAATAGTTATTTAAAATACGAACAAATTTTAGTCAGAAACAAAATGAAAATCGATAGATACATATTTAATTTGATCAGTAAGTTAAGTATATTAGAAAATCCGTGGGAATACAATCTAAAGACTAGTACATCCGACAACCACAAGGAAAGTAAAAATACAATTGTCAGGTCCCTTAGGCGATTTCTTAACATATTCGACTTAATCTATTTCTAAGCTTTTGAAGCTACTCGTGAAACTTGCGAACATCCCTTTACTTGGTTTCTTTATTCTCTTCTTCTCGTCAGCTTTAAATATTTCCGTTTCTATTAGCCAATCTCTGTAGTTCTCCTCCATGTTCTTCCTCTGTTCGTCGTGTAGCTGTTTCACAGGAACGATCGGTCCACCGAATTCTTCGGGTAGGAGTTGCTTATCGACCACTGACTCGGGGCCTTCGGAAGAGAAATTCAGTAGGTTCAACAGATTGGAGTGTATGAGTGGCTTGACGAGACACATGACCTGGTTGATGAAGGAAACCGTGTGAACAACGTGGATCTTCTTTAGACGACACGGATGAGCATTCTGTAAACATGTACATGCATTTCAGATGATGTTTCCATCAAACGATTTTTTTTTATTGCCTAGATGTGTGGACGAGCTCACAGCCCACCTGGTGTTAAGTGGTTACTAGAACCCATAGACATCTACAACGTAAATGCGCCACACACCTTGAGATACAGTTCTAAGGTCTCAGTATAGTCACAACGGCTGCCCCACCCTTCAAGCCGAAACGCATTACTGCTTTACGGCAGAAATAGGCGGGGCGGTGGTACCTACCCGTGCGGACTCACAAGAGGTCCCACCACCAGTAACAAAACCACCAGTTACTTTATTTCAGACAACAACAAAAAGTCCATATGTGTACATAGTATCATTGAAACGTACTTAAAATTAACAAACCAATCAAATAAAAAGGGTACATTTATTAAAAATAATTATCAGTTGAATACATTTTAAATATTCCATTCAACTGTTACTTACTTCGAACCAATCATTATTATTATTATTATTATTTAGTCCGCAAGTGAACCATGATACAATGGTTCAAGTACCGACAGTCATAACGGTCTGTTAATGCCTTTAATGATAATAATTATTGATTTAACAAAGCCGCAATTAACGGATGTGGATGGAAAATTTTAGAAACATTATTTAAATTTTAGACTCTTATGTAGGCGTTGCACAATAAAAGCGGGTCGCGGTTTTAAAATGTATTCTAATTGTTTGACAAACCTGGATGTAGTGCATGAAAGCTCTCAACGCCGGCAGGGTCACCCTGGTCAAATGTCCGAGACTACATCCCTTCATGTCAAAGATGACGATGTATCCTTCAGAGAGCTTATCCTCTGAGAGTTTGACATCATTGAACATGCAAAAGACGCGAACAGCATCGGCGAAGTTTAGCTTACTATAATCATAGTCGGCAAGGCGGTACAGAAGAACATGATATCCTTCAGTTGTCTTATTTGGGAGAGCTACCATTTGTCTGCAAAAAAAAACAGATTATTATTATTTTTTATCAAACTATAGCATTTCTGTATATCATAACTCCTCCATAACGTTATATATTTCGGACTAGCTGACCCGGCAGACTTCGTAGTGCCTCAATCGATAAATAAAAGACCTAAATTTTTGTATAAAATAAACTTAAAACAAACAAAAGGAATCCGTTCGACGGAGAACACATCAAAGGGAACTTAAAATTGTTATTTTTATTTAATTCCGAGCATTTTCATATTTATCTACTTTTTAAACCTTCTCTGGACTTCCACAAATAATTCAAGACCAAAATTAGCCAAATCGGTCCAGCCGTTCTCGAATTTTAGCGAGACTAACGAACAGCAATTGATTTTTATATAATATATTGATGGTGGTCTACGATTCTCATTAGGTACTGCCAATATAGCAATTAAATTGTAACTGCGGCCTGAAGGCAAAAGGTAAGAGATGACATTCAAGATGCGGTGCATGTCTACGCCAATCATGAAAAAAAAATACGTATCATTGTTATTAACTGTGTCAATGGTTTTGTTGAAAACTTCATCCTTAGATTCATTAACTGACTTTGTTAAACGTATAAACATACAAAACCTTGTAGGGATACATGTGTACGTACATTACAAAATTCATAATCTTGTTAGACCTTTATAAATAACCACATAGTCAGTATCTGTATACCCAGATATTTATTTTCTAACCCATAAAAATATAAATATTATACACAGTAAACAAATTCATGGAAAAAAAATAAACCGATGTCGAAAAATCGAAACCACACAATATCAATATTTTACTGGTACCACTACCTTGCCTATTTCTGCCGTGAAGCAGTAATACGTTCCGGTTTGAAGCGTGGGGTAGCCTTTTTAATGTAAGAACCGAGATCTTAGAACTTAAGTCTGAAGGTGTGTGGCGGCATTTACATTGTTGTTAACTATGAGCTCCAGTAACCATTTGTCACCAGGTCGTGAACTCATCCACAGAACTTAGCAATAAAAAACACAAGTTTTTCAAATTATGCCATTGGTAGTAATGTATGAAAGTGTAGTAATCTGCTAATTCATTTTAGAGGCCGCCGCTATTTATCATATATTGCCTGTCAATGCCTTTTTTTTCTTTTTTTATTGCTTAGATGGGTGGACGAGCTCACAGCCCACCTGGTGTTAAGTGGTTACTGGAGCCCATAGACATCTGCAACGTAAATGCGCCACCCACCTTGAGATATAAGTTCTAAGGTCTCAGTATAGTTACAACGGCTGCCCTACCCTTCAGACCGAAACGCATTACTGCTTCACGGCAGAAATAGGTAAGGCGGTGGTACCTACCCGCGCGGACTCACAAGAGGTCCTACCACCATGCCTAAATATATACGAGTATATCATAGGTAAATAATATCTATGTTTTCAATATTAATTAGTTTTGCGATTTAAAAAAAATTGCAACACTGTACTCTAAAATCTAATGATGTATTTTGAGACATACAAATTCGACGCAGAGGGAACTTGACGATTGTTTTAGAAGTATATATTCATACCTTTAATTAAAGCAGTAGTTTAGTCCACTTACGTAATATCCATAACAGCTCTATTCTTGGGAGCCAAAGGATCTCTGTTCGTGAAGAGATCAGGGGTGTTGCCACGAAGTGTGAAGTAGCATTCAATTGTGTCCTTCGTCTCTTTCACTTTGTAATAGTTTGAGTGAAGAAACAAATATACGTATTCGTCCGATATATACGGCAGGTGGGGTTGACTCTTCATCCTGAAAAGATCGAGAAAAAAATATATTTTGATTTGATCGTCCGTTGATTTTACAAGCTTCCTATAATATTTTCACTGTTCTAATACACATCATCAGTGCAAGTGTTTTACCAATTATTGAAATTAAATACCATAATCATAACCAATTATGTATAGGTATACATAAACTGGCCTTATTTAAAAAATAATAATAATTGCGGGATTACTGGTGGCCCGGAAGCCTTTACAGCAGGGGTCGGCAACCTGTTTGTCCTTAAGGGCGTAATACTAAATTTGAAAACCACTGAGTGCGCATATTTTTTTAAGATTATAAATCAACAGGTATAAATAGGCATTAAAAAAAACAAATTTTTTATAACTTTATTTTGTTGGTGTCATACATAATTATACATATAATTCAGTGTGAAACTTGGGTGTCCATATTTTCAGCTAATTTCTTATAATTGGAGATATAATATATTTAGAGTTCCCGGTCCTTAAACAATGTAATCTAAATGTGAGTCGTTAAGCTTTGTTCGGTATTGAAAGAAAAGAATTATTTCGGATTACTTAGTAGTTTTAGATGCACGGTCTACGCGTGGTCTATTCGAAATACGATCCCACACTAACAAAAAATACGTGCGTGTTATTAGATACGCTCAAGGTTAGCAAGCTGCTAATCTATGCACAATCCTAAACTCAACTGACTACTTGCTGTATATCGCCCTTTGACAAGAGTAAGTAAATCGCTCTGTCTATCATACATTTACATCAGTCCAGCGAGGGCGCATTAAAAACCGTTCGGGGGCGCCATGGCGCCCACGGGCGCCGCGTTGCCTACCCCTGCTTTACAGTTTCACCAGGACAGGCGGTCGAGCACGGGCTCAGCCAGAAGGAGTGGGATTTGCTAACAGCTACTCGAGCGCCTCCAAAGGAGACCTAACAACCCAGGAGCAGCTGCAAATTTACAAAATATACGCAACAGATGTCCTGCTTTTATAGAATTGTATAGGTATAATTAAAAATCAAATCACAAAAATGGAAATTTCTAAAAAAAGCTTAAGCTAATGATTATTCATTAATTAATATGAATTTCATGCGTTTAACAACACACCGAAACTTATTATTCCACTATTCGAATAAAACTAAACGATTGGTCATACGTAATCTTCATGCTTTGTTTATGGTTTAATTGATCCAGGCATAAGTGATCGTGACTATTTTATAACTAGCCGTGCATGCTCACAATACGCCTGTTTTTTAGGACCGTGGACCTAATCTCCTAGTATGTTTCCGCGTGGTCTATATAGAACCCGGTAGATGTTTTTTCTAATAAATGAAAATTATAATTTGCGTAATTACTGGTGGTAGGACCTCTTGTGAGTCCGCACGGATAGGTACCACTACCCTGCCTCTTTCTGCTCTGAAGTAGTAATGCGTTTCGGTTTGAAGCGTGGGGCAGCCGTTGTAACTATACTGAGACCTTAGAACTTATATATCAAGGCTGATGGCGGCCTTTACGTTGTAGATTTTTATGGGCTCCGGTAACCACTTAACACCAGGTGGGCTGTGAGCTCGTCCACCCTTATATGCAATAAAAAATAAATTTAAAAAAAGATTTTAACAGTCACCCATTGCTCACAATACGCCTAACCACCGGTAATATTGCACGCAACCGGTAGGGAGGCGCATTTGTCTTGTAGATATCTATGGGCTCCAGTAACCACTTAACACCAGGTGGGCTGTGAGCTCGTCCACCCATCTAAGCAATAAAAATAATAATAAAAAAACGCAAATATCATAAAATTTACATTTTTATAACACGACAACTCCTTTAGCGTGGAAGTCTTTCAGAAATACGTGATACAGTTGAATAAATCTAGTTTTGAATGCAACACTCGTACCAGTACCGTTTGACCGAGTTACAATAACACATATAATTCAAGTTACTGAAACATAAATACTATTAATCATGTTGATGTTTCGCGTATAGCAGTGCACGCTTCGATAATTGTTCGGTGCGTAAAATATGATTGCATACATATATGTATATTAACCAGTTCATTGGGCAATGGAAACGCATTTCCTCGATATATATGTAAATTTTTTTTTCGTGACCTGAATTTTGTAAGCATTTAGGTCATCTTTAATTAATTTATGCATATCTGAAATTTCATGAGGAAATATTGAAACGTTATTTACGAAGGGTACGGCCGTTTGGCCAAAGAGATATTATTTATTACTCATTGAATCAGGAGACTCAAGACCGGGCCAAAACAAGTAATACTACCAAAGTAAATCAAAAGCATACTTAATAATTCTAATTAAACATTGCCGCGGTCCGATGCGAATCGCTAAATATATTAAAACATCTATTGAGACTTGAGGTCTCAAATGACGTTTAATTACGGCTGTCCCTACCTTCCGACTAAAACCATGACTGCTTCGCAATAGGACTGGTAATCCACTCGTACGGTGCCTTGGCACATCACTTGATAAGTTTTTTTATGATTGAGGGCTTACTGGTGGCCCGGAGGCCTTTCCAGTTTCACAAGGACAGGTGGGTGAGCAAGGGCTCAGCCAAAAGGGACGGGATTTGCTAACAGACTCAAGAGTAGCTGCTTCGCGAATGAATCTACTACCGGATCGGAATCACGACCCGCTGAGAATATCCGGCGAGAAACTCAACGGGCTGATGTTTAGGTTAGGTTACACGTCGAACCCTTTGCCGAGTTCGACGACTACAGTTACCGGGGTCTCTATTCCTACCGTTAGAGCAGAAGTATAAGTCTTTAAGCGTAGCAAAATAATGAGAATCTAACTATAACGTCAATGTGCATTTAGAAACCTAGTAAACACTTAGAAACGACAATAAAAACTAATAAAATTGCATCCACATGCCTTAGGTGAAGGTCTCAGAACTCGTTGGACCGGTGCACTGATCACTTACATAATACACAATATAGAAATTGTTATGTTGCCATTTATTGTTAACGATCACTTAATCTTGAACTAGTAACACTTAATTTCGAATTGAACGCCTTCAATATTCATTTTAAAACATTATATTCACGTGTGGTTCAATTGGATGCGTACGTACGGCTTTTCGTGGATGCAGTGTGTATAGTTTCGAAAACTGTGATGACTAGTTGAGACCTCAGTATCTGAATGCTATGCGTGTTTAGGGCAATCATAAACATATTTTTACTGGTGGTAAGATCTCTTGTGAGTCCGCGCGGGTAGGTACCACCACCCTGCCTATTTCTGCCGTGAAGCAGTAGTGCGTTTTGGTTTGAAGGGTGGGGCAGCCGTTGTAACTATACTTGAGACCTTGGAACTTATATCAAGGTGGGTGGCGCATTAAGTTGTGGATGTCTATGGGCTCCAGTACCCACTTAACACCAGGTGGGCTGTGAGCTCGTCCAACCATCTAAGCATCAAAAAGAAATTGTTTTAGTGTGGCAACACATTAACATGTGGCAACACTAGTCGTTGTAGTTGTACAAAATTTCTGGTAGTACTTAACATGTGTGAAAGAGACTACCACGCCTACTTACCAAGAGAAATAAAAGGCCTTCTTTCTAAATCAAGTTTCATTGAAACTAGCCAGCGACCCAACCCAAAATACAGTCCTATGCCCGAAACAATGCGTGAATTCATAAATCGCTTAAATGTTACAAGTTTTGCTATATTTAAATCACAGGCGCTAATAAGAATCGGTAATTCTCAAAGTGAACGTTTTCTGTCTTTCGCTTTTGCGCCCTATTATTATTATTGTTTTGTGATTTTAATTTTTAATTTTATTTTTTATTTGATATATCTACTAGTAGTAGTGTACAGAGTACTGCACCACTTTGACAATCGTTGATCTAGTTTTACTAAAATATATCATTCTTTGCTTGCTGACTACGCGTCATTTAATTGTAACATAAATGTGACGAATATTTTTATGTGTTTTATACTGACCATTCTCTTATCTGCTGAACCTCATCTTCATGTCCTTCAGGCAAGAGCTTCAAGCCGTTGAGAAACGGGTGCAGATATTTAGTGGCAGCCATCTCTTCTCACACCCGTTCTGTAACAAAGATAAGGACATATATTTTTTGTGGTTACTATTTCATATACTTATATATGTAGTTAAACCATCCATAGATGGAGAAAGATCGTGCGTACGGAGGTGATACAAAAGGGTGGTTACGACCCTTAGCAGTGAGGAATATGACGCAAGGAGGACTTAAAACACTTTTACGATTTAATCTCGCGGTCATGCGGTCATAATTTAAAAGAGACTTGCAGAGAATCCTCAGTGGTAGCCAACGACTTGGCTGTGCAGCTGGCATTGCTGACATCCATGATTGATGGTAAACCAATCACTATCACATGGACCGTCAGCTCGTCTGTCCACAAAGGCCACAAAAATCGTCACTTGCAATAATAAATAAAAAACAAAATCGGTTCACTTACAAAAAGGTTCTAAGGAAAGATACGTTAAAAAAAAAGTTGAATCTCAGTTCTCAAACCGCCAATTTTTTTTAAGTCTTAGAAAATATTAGTTTGACAGGCATAGGAAAAGATAGTACTTAAATATTTATTTATAGATTTTAATTTCTTGATACCACGTATTCATTGTTTTCTACCTATTCGCTGGCGCTAGTGGCTTATGGGGCTATTCCAGCCCGGACCGGTAGGTGTGCTCATGGGCTCAACCTGAAAGAATTTGCTAACACTAGCCCTAGCAAGAGCAGTACTTCGCAGAATCTACCACCTAATCAGAATCGCGTCCCACTGAGAAGATCCGGCAAAAAAATCAGTGGGCTGTGTCTACGGGGTAGTTCGCTCGTCGAACGAGATTGACGAGGACGGTGACCAGAGAAATATTGATTGTAATGTCTTTACCGACCATCCTTTTAACATTTAGCGATATACACTAAGGACAGACGAGCTCAAAGCGAAAGATCAGACTTTACCAATGAATGATTGATTTTATATTTAAGTACTTCTCACCTTTTCACACAATACACAAAGCTGTGAAGGTCAACACGATTATCTCGTGGTGTTTGTTCCAAGTCACGTCCTATTCAGTGGTCAAGGTTCGAAAAATACAACAAAAGTAATATTGTGTAATTACTTTTAAAGTATCGCACATTATTTCTCGTAGTTAATGCCATTTGTTATTTGCATACAGGGAGGGGTATTGAACAATATGCACAAAGCAAACAAAGCGGCAGACCATTGACGTCAATTCTCGAAATCAGACGCGTAATATCGGCGGATGTGATCTCGAATTTACAAACGGAATACTTCATATTACAAGTGTTCATATAGATTAACCACCTGTCCTGGTGAAACTGGAAAGGCCTCCGGGCCACCAGTAATCCTTCAACCATAAAAAAAAAAAAAAGATTAACCAATTTCGCTGATGGTAGTCTTGTGAACCCGCACGGGAACCACTCTATTTCTGCCGAAAAGCAGAGATGTACTTCTGTGTGCTCAGTGCGAGTTTTTTAACGTTCTCGATCGCGTTAAAGTTAACTCAAAACTGTATGCAAATGGAACAGCGCCCCTGGCGGCAAAAGTAAGTAAACGTTCCAACCTACGAATAAATAAGTTATTTATTAAGTTAAATAAGTTATTTATTCGTAATAAATAAGTTATTTATTCGTAGGTTCCAACTCATGCATTACATGCATTACAAGTACATTGGGTTTGTGTCAATGGTTATCAGTAGAGGTGTAATCATAAACGAAAAATTATATTAAGAGGTACGGGAGGACGTAAAAAGGTTGGAAAGCACTGGTCTAGTTGCAGAAACCCCAAGAGATTAACAGAATACCATACACGAATCGTTTCATTAGAGAATTTTTCTAAAATATATCCGATCTTATTTCTTTAATGGCGGCGATAAAATTGGTATTCCGGAAAGAGACAGTCTTAATATAAAAAGTTGAAAGTTACTTTTAATGTCGACTATCACATAAAAAAGTAAAAAAAATAAGCCGTCATACAAAAAGTTGTTCAAATGTGAACGTTAATTTCACTAAGAAATTTACTATCGTGTTCATTATTACGTTGCACAACAAAATTTCAATTGCAATTTTTGTGACTTTCGACAAACTTAAATAAAACGAGAGAAGTCATAAATTCCTTATAGTTAAAACATTTTTTTTATTTTTCTTTATGTTTTCAAGCGCACCCCCTTGAACACCACCACCGTGTTTGGAGATAAAGAATAGAAGTCAAGGAAGCCGTAATCAGCCCAAGATTCGAATTGTTCATTAAGCCCGCATTATTGTAACTATACTGAGACCTTAGAACTTATATCTCAAGGTAGGTGGCGGAATTTACGTTGTAGATGTCTCCGGTAACCGTTTAACGGCAGGTGGGCTGTGAGCTTGTCCACACATATCTGTACATATAAATAAAATTGGAGTGTCTGTTTGTAATACTGAAATAACCGCTTTTTACTAGATGCATATGAATATATATTTATAGGGTACCAAAATAGCAATTTTTACAATTTTTGTCTGTCTGTCTGTCTATCTATTTGGCTAATCTAATCTCTGGCTAATCTCTGGAACGGCTAGACCGGTTTTGACGGGACTTTCACTGACAGGTAGCTGATAATATAAGGAGTAACTTAGGCTACTTTTTTTAGAGAAGCTTCGCCCCGCGGCGTCATCCGCGGTACGACAATAACCGAGGGTAACATCACGGGATTCAGCTAGTAAGCAATAAAAAATAAAAAATCATATTGGCCGTGAGTTTTTTATTTTTGAAGCAAATAAAGTATGTGAGTCGTCTATTATCAAAGGTGGCAATCTGTGCATTTGGACAAAAAATGTTATTGATATGTCAATACAGATTGATTTGAATATAATCGTCTCCTTCAAAGAATACGGTTCAAAACCTGCATTAAATAAAGGTTAATACTTAACCTTTTATTTATCTAAGATGTCGTTCAGAAGAGTTTTGTGACTGCCAATGGAATACAAAGTCAATAATTCGTTTTTCTGATTTACCAATAATTGTCCAAAAGTTACATTGCCGGCTTTGATAATAGTCGACTCATGTAGAAAGCTAGACAGAAATCTTTTAAATCAGTTTCTGTGCCTTTGTGGTACGTGCGGCACGATGTTACGGCACGTTGCCCGGACCGTGACAAAACTAGTACGTACTAGTCAGTACACATGTAACATCGACCGCGGAAACATTTATAATTGCATACGCGTTAATTAAGGTGAAATTTGTTTGAATACCGAAACACAAAATCATTGGCATCGTTTTAAGCGATTTTTTTTTTATTGCTTAGACAAGTGAACGAGCTCACAGCCCACCTGGTGTTAGTTAACTGGTTACCGGAGCCCATAGACATCTACAACGTAAATGCCGTCACCCACCTTGAGATATGAGTTATAAGGTCTCAGTATAGTTACAACGGCTGCCCCATCCTTCAAACCGAAACGTATTACTGCTTCACGGCAGAAATAGGCAGGGCGGTGGAACCTACCAATGCGGACTACAAGACGCCCTATCACCAGTAAAAACTTAATATAATATTTTAAAGTAATCCGAAGATGAGAAACGAATGAATGAATGAATGATTTACTTTATTTCAGACAACAACAAAAAGTCCATATTTTATGTTTACATAGTTTTATTGAAACATACTTAAAATTAACAAAACCAATTCAATAAAAAGGATACGTTTATTAAAAATAATTATCAGTTCAATACATTTTAAATATTCCATTCAACTGATACTGATACCAGTAATTAAGCAAATTATAATTTTGCGGGTTTGATTTTTATTACACGAATGTTAATCGTTTAGTTATTTAATACGAAACAAATTAACATTATTAAGTATTGAGCGGTAGGCAGCGGCTTGGCTCTGCCCCTGGCATTGCTGAAGTCCATGGGCGACGGTAACCACTCACCATCAGGTGGGCCGTATGCTCGTCTGCCTACAAGGGCAATAAAAAAAAAAAAAAGAAAAATAGGTTATATCGTTTCTGATTCGCAAACCTCGATGTAGAAGTCGGTAACCGTTTATTCCTGGAAAAATCTTAAGCATATCATCATAGAAAAACGCGCCAACTTCTATACTTCTTCAAACTTCTATCTATTCAATCCTATATCATATTTTAAAGAATACGCAACTAGAATAGAATGACTCTACCCTACTCTACCCGACGCTATCCTACCCTGACTAGAATGATCAGGAATGGTCATTACCAGGTATGAGAGTTTTCAAGTGAATCAAGCGTCTTGAACTTTGTGAAAAACACGTTGAAAGATTCCGTAACGGTGATACTGGACAAGCTAATTAAAATACATAAAAAAAAGTTTTTTGCCCATAACTGGGCTAATGCGGTCACAGTCTAAGCTGCGGTTGTCGGGGCGGACAAACACTTCCTGAATATCTACTCCTACTTTAATCTTCTACCGGATCGCTGGTAGTCTATAGAGCTATTCCACTGATTGGTGAACTCACCGGCTCAACCTGAAAGAGTTTGCTAACATTGGCCCTAGCAATATCATTACTTCGCTGAATCTACGACCGAATCGGAATCGCGACCCACTGAAAAGATGTATCACACCGTATCTCACTATTGCTTTGCGTCAGATCATACAGTGGGACGAACCAGAGCGTGTTGAAGACATGCTCCGCCACTAGTTATTAATTTCACAGTTTTCTAAACATTAAGATATCTTATTAAACACTAGCGACCCGCCCTCGCTTCGCTTCGGAAACATTAAATTTTATTATTGATAGCTGAGTCCCGCAATGTAACCCGCGGTTATTGTCGTTCCGCGGGTGACGCCGCGAGGCGAAGCTAGTCTAAAAAAAAGTAGCCTAAGTTACTCCTTATATCATCAGCTACCTATCAGTGAAAGTCCCATCAAAATCGGCCCAGCCGTTCCAGAGATTAGCCGGAACAAACAGACTGACAGACAGAGACATAAATTGTAAAAAATGTTTGGTGTATGTATATTGTTTTGGTGTATGTACCGTATATATATTCATATGCATGTAGTAAAAAGCGGCTATTTCAATATTACAAACAGACACAC